TCACTCTATTCATTGAGTGCTTTGCTTGGGTTAACAAACAAAAAAGTAAGATTTGTCCCAGAGCATCGATGGGGACCTCATGAGTTACAAAGCCTGATGTTATTATTTATCTGGAAACATTGCCTTTGTATTTACATCCCCCATTGATTTTTAAAGTGCCCTTGGGCATATACCTCTCTCCACCTGCAAAGGCTCAGATGTTTGCCAAGAACCTAAATTGAAAGCTACCCTTCCAAAAATAAACTGATAAACAAACAGGGGTAAATAAAGCTTCAACACTGGTGGAAGCTCTACATCTCAGAGAAATTAGTTGTGATAATAGAAATGACCTAAATGGCCGGCATAAAGTTCAACAGACCTCCTGGTTATAATTAAAAGGCAAGGAAGACCAAAATGAGTCACTCCAATTGGTAAAAAGCATAGCTAATATTTCCTAGAGATGGGTGAGAGGTATGTGCCTCAGAGACAAGAAAGGTGTGAGAGCTTCCCCACCTTTCCACACAAGACAATCATGAGCACTCTGGGTTGATGGGGTGGAGGGAGGCAGCTCTCTCCGCACTGCACTTGGGAAGGCTGAGCTTACCTTGTGACAATAAGATCAGCTTTCTAATCTTTTGCTAAATCGATCACAAAAGAAAGCAAGAATGAGAGACAGAGAGAGAGAGAAAGAGAGAGAGAAAGGGAGAAAGAGAGAGAGAAAACAAATTCACATTCTAGACATCTGATTTTAAAAAACTTAAACAATAAATAGGGATTTAAAATGTTCTGATCACAAAATTATTTTCTGTCATAAGCGATCATCTCATATGCTGTTTTGATGATTTTCAGATCAGCTACACAATCCAAAAATCGTAAAGCAACTTAAGATAAACCAAATTCACAGCATCAGCACCATCCATAAATGGGTTCCAAACAGATGCATGCAGTGTGTGGATATATGAATGATAAACAGAAGCTGTCCCCACAGTCCCTGTTCTGACAGTCATTCGTGTTTTCCTTGGTGTCAGATGTCAGATGGCTCAAGTATAGGTTGCTAAGCAGAGTGCTGGAGATGCGTCCTGTGAGGTCTTTACTATGACATGTGGGGAGGGTATCACTAGGATCATAACAAGAGTGTGGAAATGCAGTTACACTGTGTACCATTACTTTCCTGATAAAACAACCTGCCAATTTCAAGCAGCTCATGAAATCCTACACTCCATTTATTATTTTTAACACCCCACCCCTTTCTTAGTTTCACAAACACACATTTCACTGTAATCTAGAACTCCGTGTTGTTTCTCACATAACTGCAGTTACCACTTCCTAGGTTCGCCACTGAGAAAACAGCAGCCAGACGCAAAGGAGTTACATCAAGGCACACTGAATAAGGAAGAATAAATTAACATTGACAAGAGGGCACACTGATCACCCAGATGGACACCTCTCCCCTAAGATGACTTGTGAATTTGCACATCTCCACTGATATGTTACCAGGAAGAGATTTTCTCTTCATTTCTCACTTACAGCAGAAGAAATCTGTAATCTAATTAGAAGATGTACCAGCCCTCAATATCTGTCAACCAAACGATGTGCAGAAATGTGGAGACCAGCTCTGGCACTCTGCTCAACAGTGTCCCTTTTCCGCTGTCAGCAGTACTGTCGGCCTCTGCTAATATAATTACATTGACTTTTATTCAATTAAGTGCCATCCCTCGCTTTAAAAAAAAAGCTACTTTATCAATTGATCCAGGTGTAATGCAATAATAAAGATGAACTCATGGCAGTGCATTAGCTCTGCTCTTCATAACTTCAGTGCACAGGTTCATTCATGGCTGTCGATTTCCATTACGCAACCACAGTTCAAGAGAATTGATTCTTTTATGTTCATTTCTTAATCTATTTCATTTTTGTTTAATAATCTTCCTAAATGCCATGTGCAAAACACATGAAGTGGGGGCGAGAAGAACGGGCTGTGAAAAGCCAGCTAGTTCTCTGTCACGCCTTGAACTTGGGGAGTCTCTGACACATTTCCCCAGGGTTACTGAAATGGAAAGAAGGAAACCAAGCGGGGGGGGGGGGGGGGGGGAAAAAAAAACCAGCAGGCTGGCTGATGTTCTTTACAGGTGCTACTGATCCTGCTCCGCCTCCAGAGATGAACAGCAGGGAGCGCTTGATTTTCACAAGGGCTTTTGTTGGACCCTTCAGTCGGTCAATTCAAACCATTAACTATCATAAATTACTGTCTTCGAGAGATATGAAGACCTAGGGTCAATAGCAATTTGAGAAATATTACAAGCTGAATTGGGTCAGCATACTGAAGAGGTAAAAAGAAAGGGAAGACGGACAGAACTCTTATGACAATCAGATGGTGAGAGGGGTAAAGTGGAAGGAGGTGGGAGTATGTGGAGACAGGAAGACCCTAGGTTCCTAGGACAGGAACCATGGAAACCAACATGGAATTATTTAGAGATACAGATTTCATTCTGAAGAGAAATCTGGTGTTCTGAATATTCATCTTGAGAAAGAGAAGGAAAAATAACAACCAAAATCTAGACTGATTGGAGCATAAAGAATATAAAAGCTGTTTCTACTTGCTCTGATTAGCAGATGATCCCGTTATGAGGAAGTAAGTTCTTATAGAAAAACAACAAAGAAAAAGGACTGAGATGGAGAAAATAAGTTCATAGGGGTAAAGGTAGGGGTTAATATAGGAGTTAGATCAAGGAGAGTACCTTCAAGAATATAAACAAATCAAGTAGAATACTTGGCACATGGAAGATATTTAAATGTACCTTTACTTGTTTTCAATCAGTAAAACACATGAATCTCTTAAAGAAGCTTTTCCCAAAATACACTACAGAAGATAATTCCAATGAGAAGCATTTAAATGGTGTCTTTGTAAAAAGATATTGATGACAGAGAAAGAGTGAAATGCTCTAGCATCGTGCAAGAGGACATTACACAAGTCAGGGACATGACTCCTCCAATCTGGGCTATATTAAGAGTTATAAATATTTTCTGAGTTTCTGCACTCTTTCCATACTGTGAATCTATCAAAAGCCTCTTCAAGACTTAAGGTCACAAAAAAACAATTCCAGGGAAGGCATCAATCCCTAAACTTTGGTCTTATTTGGAATGCTGAGTACAAGTCCTGTACCTGGATGAAAGTGAACTACCCAGTCCTTTTCCATTTCTTTGATGAACACTTGCCCATACAATCACAGAAGACAAGAGAGTCACCAAATGAAATCAAGTAAATGCAAGAGTGTGCAGAGAGCAAAGGCAAATCTTGCTTTGGATTTGTTCTTGTGTCTTTTTCCCACTTGCCCAAATGCAATGTTTCATAAACAAAACTAAAAATGAAACAAGATAGCCAGGCGTGGTGGCTCATGCCTTTAATCCCAGCACCTGGGAGGCAGAGGCAGAGGCAGGAGGATCTCTGTGAGTTCAAGGCCAGCCTGGTCTACATAGTGAGTTCCAGGACAGCTGGGGCTACAAAGAGACCCTGTCTCAAAAAGACCAAGAAAAAAAAAAAAAAAGGAAACAAGACAAGTGTTTGAGTTTCCAAATTTGGTTTTGAAACACAGAGAAAGAACTGGTGGTTTTGTTTGTTTTTAAGGAAAAGTGTTATAACCAGGTTAGAAAATCAGAATGTGGCAATGTGATGGTTGATTAGTCTCAATTGTCAACTTGATGGATTCAGAAACATCTAGAATTGCCTGATGGACCTCTGTGCATGTCTGTGAGGGATTTTCTTCAGTAGGTTAAGGAAGAAGACCCACCCAACGCCAATGGCACCATCCCGTGGGCAAAGATTCTGGACTGCAGAACAGGGAGAGGTGAGCTGAGCACGAGCATTCACTGCTCTTTTCTTCCTGATTATAGTGCAATGTGACCAGCTGCTTCAAGTTCCTACCACTTTGACTTTCCCGCCATGACAGGCTACACTTCAAATTGTGAGTCAAAAATAACTTTTCCTTCAGGGCATTTTATGGCAGCAACAGAAAAGCAACTAAGACAGGCAGTCAGAAACTGAACTCACAAATTCACAAGTCAGGGTACTATGTT